TACTGAAAACTTTACAGATACAATGATGCAGTGTCCGGGATTTGATTCCAGGTAATCTAGAGGGAAGAAGATCACCCAGCAACAAAGACCTTTAGCCTCATGGCACAAACAAGAAGGACCTTTCTCCAGGGTTTAGCTTTTTGTTAGATGGTATCTCTTCATTTCTGTTTATTTTCCTGCAGAACTGTCTGAGATTGAGCCCAATGTATTCCTTCGGCCTTTTCTGGAAGTGATTCGCTCTGAAGACACCACTGGCCCTATCACTGGACTGGCGCTTACCTCTGTCAACAAGTTCCTGTCCTATGCACTTATAGGTAAGAGCTCAGGCTTTGTTGCATGACCACAGTACTTCATTTCCCACCTCTCCCAGGGTGCTCAGGCCTTAGGCAATGAGCTGGTGATAGTGGGAAATTTTTCTCCCACCTCTTTTCTTGTAGAAGAGAAATAGGATTGTTATTCGTTACTCATCATGCTAGCTGACTCACATTGTTCAAGGTGGGAAGGGCAGAAGAGCTTTCCTTGTTACTTTGGCTTCCTTGGTACTATGCTTTGGGAGGAGTTAAGGGTGTGGTACCTTACCCTTTGAGATTTGGTTAGGTTTATTTTTAAAGTTATTTTTTCAGACATAATGCATGCACGTTGTACGAAGACAAACAAGAGGTGATGAAAAGTTAATGTCCCTCCTGTATCTTTCTCAATGCTCCTCCTCCTCCTTTAGGCAAATAGTGTTAACAGCCTAGTTTGAATCTTTCTGTGTGTTTTTCTATATGTTTATAAATGAAGTACCATCCCTTTTTAAAATGAAATAAAAATAGGATTATGTGCTACATATTTTCTTTTTTACACTTAATAGTATTAAATGTACATGATATAGTCATCTGATTTATTCTTTTATATTGTAGAAAATATATATAAAACTTGCCATTTCCATCTTTTTTTTTTTTTTTTACGGAGTTTCACTTTACTTGCCCAGTCTGGAGTGCAATGCTGTGATCTCAGCTCACCACAGCCTCCACCTCCTGGATTTAAGTGATTATCCTGCCTCATCCTCCTGAGTAGCTGGGATTACAGGCATGTGCTACCACCCCCGGCTAATTTTGTATTTGTAGTAGAGATGAGGTTTCTCCATGTTGGTCAGGCCAGTCTCAAACTCCCGACCTCAGGCCTGCCTCAGCCTCCCAAAGTGCTGGGATTACAGACATGAGCCACCATGCACAGCTGCCATTTCCATGATTTTGAGTTTACAATTCATTGGCATAAATTGCATTCACAGTGTTGTGTAACCATCACCATCATCTATTTTCCAAACGTTTTTATTACCCCAAATAGAAACTTAACATCAGGCCTGGCACGGTGGCTCAAGCCTGTAATCCCAGCACTTTGGGAGGCCGAGGCGGGTGGATCACGAGGTCAAGAGATCGAGACCATCCTGGTCAACATGGTGAAACCCCGTCTCTACTAAAAATACAAAAAATTAGCTGGGCATGGTGGCGCATGCCTGTAATCCCAGCTACTCAGGAGGTTGAGGCAGGAGAATTGCCTGAATCCAGGAGGCGGAGGTTGCGGTGAGCCGAGATCGCGCCATTGCACTCCAGCCTGGGTAACAAGAGCGAAACTCCGTCTCAAAAAAAAAGAAACTTAACATCATAGGGAGTTAACATTAAGCAATAACTCCCCATTTCCCTCTTCCCTCAGCCCCTTGTATGATTTCTTTTAGTGGCTATATAATTTCCATAGTGTAATATAGATATAACACAATTCATGTGCTTATTAATATTTAATATTTAGATTATTTCCTGTTGAAGTCATAAATAATGCTAATATAAGCATCCTTGATCACATGTCCTTATTTACTCATTTTACTCATGTATGAAAGATCTCTTACCTTGGGATCCCTGGTTTAAAGACCATGTGCATATTGCATTTTTATAGCTATTACCAGGTTGCTTCTCCAAAAGGTTACATCATTTACATTTACACTTCCACCAGCAGTAATTGAGAATTGTCACTTTCCCACCCTGTCATCAGCACTGAATATTATCATTTTTATTTATTTGTGCCAACTTGGTAGGTAAAAAGTGGGTTTTTTTTGTTTTATTTCTTAAGACAGGGTCTTGCTCTGTTGCACCCAGGCTGGAGTGCAGTGGCACAATCACAGCTCACTGCAGCCTTGACCTTCAGGCTCAGGTGATCCTCCCAACCCCACCTCCCAAGTAGCTGGGACTATAGGCACACACCACCACACCCAGCTAGTTTTTGTACTTTTAGTAGAAATGGAGTTTCACCATGTTGCCTAGGCTGGTCTTGAACTCCTGAGCTCAAGCAATCCACCGCCTTAGCCTATCAAAGTACTGGGATTACAGGCATGAGCCATTGCACCTAGCCTTTTGTTGTTTTAATTTCTTGCAGTTGAAACATTTGAATTTCCTCTCCTTCACTTATTTTTTTTTTTATTATTGTACTTTTAAAAAAAAGTTCAGGGGTACATGTGCAGATCTTTCAGGATTGTTGCATAGGTACACACGTGCCATGGCGGTTTGCTGTCTCCATCCCCCCCGTCACCTACATTAGGCATCCTTCCTTACCCTCCTCTGTCCCTCCCCTAGCTCCCACCCCACTTATGTTTTTTAGTTGTTTTTGTTTTTCATGTCAATTTGTAGGAGTTCTTTGTATAGTAGGAATATTAACCCATTGCCTATCGTTAGCATTACAAATATTTGCTCCTAATCTAGGCCAAATATTTCCCCTAACCTATAGGTTATCTCTAAATTTGTTTATGGTATATTTCTTTGGATTCCTTTTTTAGTTGGTCTTGACACTCAATTTGGGAATTCATATTCCCCAATTGGCAGCCCATGTACAAGGATGAAGAACATAGAAAACAGGCAACTGTCTCTGTTTCTTAAGTAGGGAGGCAAGAAAAGATTAGGCTCAGGCTTTAGCTAGCCAGAAAAGGAAATAGTCTACAGGGCAAGAAAACCCTTTATCTATTCTAGAAATGTTGGATTTGCTTAGCTGATGCATTCATTCCTGCATTCCTGAGCAGGAATCCTGGGTACCAGCTAGCTTCTGAACAGGTGCATCAGCCTCTCCGACACCCTAGTCCTAGCTTCATACTTTTCCTAAACAAAATCAGGCCCAGCCACTTCCAGCCTTGCGCTGAGCACCACCTGCAGGTCATCTCTCTTCACAGCCTCTAGTGACTGCCCCTGCTGTGCCTTTTCCCTCTGCTGACTTGTTGGCGTTACTCTCTCCCCTTCCTGGACTTGGCAGTCAGGCTGGTCATTGGAGACCTGAGGCCAGCTGGTCATTGGAGTTTCCTGTGGTGGGAAAGGAGAATGCTGGAGGTGGTGATTGCATTGAGCATAAGAAAAACAGCAGGAAGGAGTGTATGACAGCCAAAAAAGCAAAGGAGATGGGATTGGCAGATTTCCCTCAAGTTGGCTCCAGAGTAGCCAGAAGAGGAGGACATTTTAAAGAAGGGTTTAGGCTGTTCTTCTAGAAGAAAACTCCCGCCTCTTGATTCTATGATCCAAGGTTTCAGAGATTATTTGAGATCCTCCTTTAAGGACCGGCCTTTCGTTTGCCCCCATACAGCGGCCAGACCAGAATTTTTGTACCACTGATTTCATGGCTTGCTAGCAAGCCTTGCCTATGGTTCTAAAGACTTGTCACTCTTGTCTGCTTTTTTTATTTTTGTTTTTTATGGGATTTTTTTTTTTTTTTTTTTTTTTTTTTT